AGCGTTCAAGCGGTGAGGACAGAACATGAAAGTGGAGGTAACGCCCCATCTGACCTAAACCGTGGCGGCCAACTGGACCTGGCCAGCTCCTCAGATCAACCTCAACTGGCTGCACGGCTTGTGGAGAACGTGGCTATGTCCGCCTCTCCGCGTTCATCCCCATCTGATGACACGGTGAATGACAGCAGTGAGGAGGAGTCACCAGCTGAGCCCACCCCTACAAGAGGCAGGCGCCGCGGGAGTGGCACAGCCACCAGGGCTAGGGGTGGTAGGGCCACCAGTGCTAGGGGTGGTAGGGCCACCAGTGCTAGGGGTGGTAGGGCCCGCAGAGGAGCTAGACGGAACGCTGCCCTCCTGACAGCAGATGACTGCAGGAGAATCGAAGGACTTCGGACCCGAAGGAAGGAGAAAGTGAAGGTAACTATGGCTGTGTACACTTTGTGACTCCAACTGGGCAGAAGATGAAGTTCATTTTGTACTAGACTGTAGGTTATGCATGTAGGGACATGCTTAAAATATAGTTTTAGCACTGCCCTGAATTTAGATGTAAAAAAATTAGTACAAGGTGATCTATTTGTATACATCATGACATCCCCTGGCAATAATGTTCTGTACAACATGCTTAGGAGCTGATAGGGGAGATGAGTCAGGCAGAGAAGGATGACCTCCTCTGTGAGTTGGTGGACCGCAGCCTGGCCTCATTCTCGACATCATGGAAAGAGAGGTGGTGATGCAGCCGGCGGCGGTGCAGGTGGCGGCAATGAAGGTGGCGGCGATACAGGTGGCAGCAACGCAGGTGGCAGCGGTGCAGGTGGTGGCAGTGCAGGTGGTGGCGGTGCAGGTGGCAGCGGTGCAGGTGGTGGCGGTGCAGGTGGTGGCGGTGCAGGTGGCAGCGGTGCACCTGAATGGTGCACGTGTAGCCGCTGCCAAGACATGCCGACAGACGCAGAGAAGCTGTGCTGCCAAGGACACCCCAACAGCTGCATCTCTAGACTGCCTGTAAGCTATGCATCACATGTTTCACTTGTATAATGAAGATTACTTCACACTCATTGGTTTATATGCTAAATAATAAACATGCTAAAGTCAAGATATCTGAAAACAAGGCATATTGTTATAAAAATGAAATGCCACGTCATTTGGATCATATGCAAATATCAATTTAATCAAGACTTTCCCCCTTTTTGCAGGACATGGACCTTAACATACTGAATCCAAGCATCCTGAGGCTGGCCAGGCAGTACAGAAATGATGTATTTGGATTGCAGGACCAACAGGAGCCTGGCCAGGACAACAAAGAGTACAGGCACGCCGCGTATCGGCAGTACATCCTCTGGCAGCATGGGCGCCTGGGGGCACGGAACCGCCAGGTCATCCCCAACTGCTGTGTGTGGAGGATCAGGCGGCAGTTCCCTGACCCCCATGGCCAGTATACAGGTTTTCTTCCTGGTGTGTAAATAAAAATGTAAGCAATGGAATACTGCAGATAAACTCACAGTGTGTTGTCTCCTTACTCTAAGCTTACAAATAACTTATGACCTTAGTGCAAACACAGAATTCTTACACATGGAAACACAGGATTCTTACACATGGAAGCATTCTTACACAGTGAGCGGAATATACACATGAATATAATACTCACTTTCTTGAACATTGGTTCCCTGACAGGGTATGACTTGAAAATTGTAAGCAATGGAAAACCACAGATGGACTCACAATGTGTTGTCTCTTTACTCTATCTATGAACATTGGTTTTACTTAGAACATTTTACAAAAAGGGATTTCTGACATGTTAACTGAGAAGTTAACTGACAGTGTATTCCTAAAACTAAATATTGATTCTACTAATACTCTAGTGCCAACCTAGACTGGTGCTGCTGGACCAGTAAAGCGGTTGGTGGTGCTGGCTGGTTTGGGAGGGGACCCAGCCTCCTTGGGTCAGTCTCGGACATGGGCTGCTTCCGCTTCATACCCCTGCCGGAGTCGATCCTCCTCCTTACGATGTTCCCTTGGAGCTCTCCGATGTAGTTGTACTCCTTCGGCTCTTTTACTTTGCAGTAGGTCCACCGGTCGCTCTTCTTCTGGAACGACCTATGGGTTCTAAAGCCAAAACGTATGAAGATGTAATAAGAGAAAGGATCAGTTACCTTCAACTCCAGATTAAAAACAGCTAGAATCCCCAATGAAACAACTTACAATACAGATAATAAGAGATTGTCTACACAGTAATTTCAATCATAAGCATGTTGAAATCATATAAAATTCAAGTTTACAGCAATCTTCTCCCTTTGTACTCTAGAATATTATAGTGGAGGTACTTACTATCACAAAGTTGTCACTATATAAAATACTAGTATGTCCACATACCTCACTTCCCCGTCACTCTTCCGCTTTGCCACCGGCCTGTCCTTGTGCCTGTTGTAGTCGATGGCTGCAAGAAGACATCTTGCATTGTAGACCTCAGGACTGAAGGGGAACCGCTTGGAGGCGTACATGAGAATATGATTCTGAAAGCTCTCAAGCTCTGATGTTACTCTGAAAAAAGCAATACCAGAAATAATTTGCTTTCAATTGATAAGCAAGGAATGGTTGTAATCCCTACATAATAACAATTTCTGTATGAGGTTGTTTCAAATGACAAATATGTTTGTGCAGATTGTAATATAATTGACTTCTCCTATAACAGTATGTCAAAAAAGGTAATTTGATGAAATCTTGAATCTAATGATGCATTCACACAATTTATATACCTGAACCGCAAGAACTTGTGGGCTGTCTTCAGCCACTTCTTGTCCAGCAGGATTTCCCTCAGTCTGTTGTGGGGCGCAGAGCCAGGAACCAGCCAGGTTGTTGTCCTCACCTCTGTGTAATCCAGAGGGGGGTGAAGGCACTGTCCCAGGGCCCATGTGTGATTGTTGCACACGTGGTGCAGAATACCAGTCCACATTGTCTGGAGACAAGAAGAATAATTCATGAACTGGTGACAAGAAACAATACTAATGAACACTGTTTTCTGTAAGCAATGTAGTTATCTATTTTATGGTAAGATATGTAAATGACTAGATAGACTTGAAGTATAAAACTCACCGTGCACCGGATACAAACACCATTTTCACTTACAAGTGGAACATGGTGGCCACCATGTTGCACTTATAAGTGGGCCAGGAGACGTCTCCTGGCTCATGAGAGACACCATTCTCACTTAGATCTGGATGGAAGAGATGGATGTGTGGTGTGTGTGTGTGGTGTTTTTCGGTGGGTAATCG